AAGCAACAGCTAATCATTTGAAACGACAAGATGAAATAAAATAAACCAGATAATGCATACAGATACGCTAAATTGGCATATGAAGTAAGTTGGTTAGTAACGCATCCGCGATAAGTACAAGTGTCGACAAGTTACTAAATAAATGCTACATACGCAATAAAAATAACGAAGATATCCAAAAGCAGTGAAAGCAACGTATGCAAGTTAATAGAAGATTATTCCGGTAAGCAGAACAAACCAAAAAAGTGGAAAGTAATTTAGCCAGCATAAAAAGACCTAGTTTAAATGTAAGTTGGTTTAGCCCAACTGCAGCGAATAAGCATCATACATGGTTGGCGGCATCCGGTTTCGGATTTGCCTGTCACTGTGGCCAGCCACAGGACGCCTGCGTCTACAGACGGACCATGGGTGGCTTGCGCTGCACCACCCACACACCACATATATAGTGTAAACCCGAAGGAATAAGACCGGGAGGCATCTGGATGGGAGCTACGTCTCATCAGCGGAGCCGGCCCACACGCCTTCACAGGCAAACAAAAGCACGCTGTAGTTGGGAATCAATCACACACAAGACGGTGGTTGGAGCGTGGTTCGCTCCACACTGAGCGTTTGGGACCACTCTACAAGCCTAACACGGCCACAAGGACCGTGCACCCCGTCCCCTCCAGCAACGACCAACTGTCTCCTGGAGCCAGTATGGACGAGGTAGTGCCAACCTTTCTAAGCTAGGTACCTTGTCAACATGCACATCAAGCGCAGCCACACCATGGGATATCAAACAACAGCCAATCAATTGATAGAAAGATAACAAAGAAAATAAATCGAGTAATCCATAACGAAACGGTGACATAAGTCTTAAATTAATGAGGATATGAAATAAGTTGTTTACCAACGAAAACGAGGTAAGTTCATGAGGTCAGGAAGTTTATTTTACGGAAATGCTACAAACACGAAAATGTTATCGAAATAACTACAACTGGCTTAAGCGAGTTGTGCAGGTTTATAGAAGAGAGTATGAGTGGCAATTTATATGGCAAAGAAAAGTGTTAGGACAAAATTGAAAACACCCCATCTGAAATAAAGAGATTAAGCATGCAAGCACGCGGTTAGTAAATCGAATGCAGCGTACCTACAAACGCTGCACCAGTTCTGCCTACGTTCTCTGCAAAACCAGTCGTCGCTTCGGTAGTGGTCCCGAGTGGCCTCGCTCATGGCTCACTAGACCTGCCTGACTCAGGCACTCGCAACCGCATGTGCTACAGCACCATGCGCTTGATGTCGATGGAGAACAACCCATCGGTGCTTGCCGCTTCTTCTCTGCATGCATGAGGGCTTTCTCCTGCACCTCGGCAACTGCCTTCGTGATCAGATCGCGCCATGCACGTCGAGCAACCGCCTTCAATTCCCGTGATCTGCAATCAAGATTAGAACGTGAGAAGCTCACTTTAATCATGTCCTGCTATCGTAACTTTGGTTTCCCCACGTGCCGCTTCCCAATTCCCAGCTGACCGTATAAGAGTTGTTTCGGTATCCGCGTTCAATCCATACGCCACACATGACCGAGCCATCTCAGATGTCTCAGCAAAAATATGCAGTCCACTGCATACATTCCACTACGGCGCAACAACTCCGTGTCTGCAACTCTGTCGCCCCAACCGATGCGCAAAATTCGTCGCAGACACTGCTGACGGAACCGCTCCAGATATCGCACATCCCGACGGTACATCGTCCACGTTTCACTACCGTATAGAAGAACGGACAGCACCATGGATTTGTACACCATCAGCGTCGGGCCAATGGTAAGCTGATGGTTGTTCCACACTCGGTACTCAAGCTTCCCGAATGCCGCTGCTGCCTTCGACACGCGAGTACGCAACTCACTGTGTAGCTGCTGATCAGTCGACATCACACTCCAAAGGTAGCAGAAGCGGGAGGTGGTTTCCAATACTTCGGCACCAATGCTGACTCGCGGCAATATTGAAGATTGCACCTCCGGTGAAGGCTGAAAGAGACAGACAGTTTGGCTTGTGTTGATGGTGAGCCCGAAGTTGGTCGCTGTCGAAGCCAGAACACTAGTTATGTGCTGCAAGTCATCCGCGCTGTGTGAAAACAATGCACAGTCGTCATCAAACGGCAACATGCGGATAGTTGTCTCACAGACTATAGTTCTCGCACCGAAAGGACGGATGTTCAGCAACCCACCATCAATACGGTGCTCCACACGAACACCGTAAGCACAAGCGGCATCAAAAGCACAAGACAACATTGCATGAAGATATATATTAAACAGGGCAGGAGCTAAGACAGCCTTGCTTCACACCAGAGAAAACTACAAAGTCATCCGCGGTCTGTCCACTCAGCTGCACTCTCACTCGCATACCACTGTGCAGACAATCGATTAAACTTACAAACTTACGCGGGCAACCAAACTTACCCAACACCAGCCACAATGCCTCGCGGTTCACCGTATCAAATGCCTCGATAAAATCAACAAAAAGTGAGTACAATGGCTGGTGGTTCTCTGCACTTCTCCTGCAACTGATGAGCCGCACACACCATATGTATAGTGCTGTGACCCGAACGGAATCCACACTGCTCTTGCGCCACGTCAGGTTCCCAAACCTGACTGACGAGGCGGTTGAGCAGGATTCGGGCAATCACCTTGCCCACACAACTCAGCAAGTTGATACCACGATAATTCGTGCAACATTGCTTGCTCCCTTTGCCCTTGTACAGTGGTAGCACAAGGGCATCCTTCAGCTCAGGAGGCACCTCCTCCTCAATCCATACACGTTGCACCAGGTGGTGCAGCGCAGTCAACAACGCGGGTCCGCCGTGTTTCAATACTTCAGGCGGGATCCCGTCGGCCCCAGTACACTTGCCGTTTCGCAGCTGAATAAGTGCCCTCTGCGTCTCATCCAGTGTCGGCGTGTCCGCCAGACTCGCATTCACATTGTGCTGCTTGAGGCCGTTCAATGTAGGCCAGTCGATCTCTGAACGGTTGTTCAAGAGACAGTTAAAGTGATTTCACCAGATCTGCATTATGTCTGCAGTCTGTGTGCAGGTAGCGCCTGAACTACCATCGATCAGTGTCCTCAGAGGCTCCAATCGCGATCCATACACCGCCTTCAAGGAGTCAAAGAATGCCTTGTGTTGACGGCGTTCGGCGTAGCATTCCATCTGCTTCGCCTCCTACGTCCACCATGCAGTTTAATGCCAGGGAGCTCTCGGGTCAGTCGCCGTCGAAGTTTGCGAAACTGACTCTTCTTCCCCAAGTCACTGGGGTTTGCGACATGTGCAACAAATGCTGCTTTCTTCTCCGACACCAATGCGCCAATCGTCGCATGGTTGTCATCACACCAATCAGGCCACTTACAGTTTGCGCGCCCGTTGGTCTCCTTGGCAGCAGCTGTCAGCTGATCGCGAATGTGGTGCCACAGGTCGCCCACTGTGGCTATGCAGTCCACATCAAACAGGCGTGCAGCCATCGCCTTCTCCTGCTCAGTACGTTTCGCCACAGTACCGAGAGAGAGGATGTTAAATTTAAGCCGATTCACGGCGGGAGTGCAATACATAGATTTACGAAAATATATGTACAGTTTGGTCTGCACCAACTTGTGATCAGTGCCACACTCAGCGGCACGCAGTACACGTGTCATGCGCACTTCACGCATATCACGCTGACGTACGATGACATAGTCGAGCAGGTGAACGTGACCACTCTGTGGGTGCGTCCAAGTTGCCATATCACTCGCACTCAGTGCAAACCGAGTGTTCGTGATCGTCAGGCCGTGAGTGGCACACAGTGAGAGCAGCCTGTCACCGTTCGCATTCGCTGAACCAATGCCATGCGCACCGATAACATCTGTCCACGCTGATGCATCACGTCCAACGCGCGCGTTGAAATCACCCAGCAGAAATAGTCGGTCGCTCCTCGGCACAGACCGTATCACGGAGGATAGCTCAGTGTAGAATTGATCGCGCGTGTCATCAGGATAACACATGGTCGGACCGTACGTGCTTATAAAAGTGGCAAACTTACCTCTTCCGAGTCGTAGACGAACAGTCATCAGTCGCGCGCTGATGACTGTTGGTTCACCTACCAGCTGGCCATGGAGGCGATCGGATATTGCAAATCCGACCACATGATCATACATACATACATATTTAAATAAATAGGAACCTGCTAAATGCGCGGTGGTATGAACCGTGTCATAATCCTCAAGAAAATGGCGAAAAAGTGATCAAAAGTAAATATGTTATATGGATAATGCTAGTCATGGTCATGCATGTGCCAGAGTGCACAGTGCATCGATCATAGGTTGATCAGAAAAATGCAAATGCTGCAAAGAGATGCATTATTGCTGGGTGGGCGGGAGGAATGGCCCGTATGCGCTGGAGACGCCAACGGATTCGAAATATCGGTTCCTACAAAGCATTTCTAACATCTAGTAACAGCACAGTGTAAAAATAGCATTGTACAGTTGGTGTTTGGTAACAACCCCATAGCGCCGCAGTAGCTTGATGGTTAAACTTGGACTCCCTTCGTCGGCTAGTTCATATGCATCGCAAGTCTATAGCGTGTCTGCTTGGATGGTTGCTGATGTAAAGTAGCACCGAGGGCATAACTAAAGTGCATATCTATGTGGGTCCCAATTTACGAAATTGGCAACTCCGATGTCCTCTAGATGCAGAAACAGTGCGCATCAACCCTGTCATAGTGTAGGTACGAAGTTCCTTTTCTCTGACAGCCCACCGTCAAAGTCTATTTTGCAAAGTCCGATTTTCATCTACACTTGTTTACCGTCATTTGCACAGTGTCAAGAGAGGGGGTGCGATTTGGCATCCGTCCATGTTCCAGACACTAAAGGCAACATACATGTAGTGTAGATTGGAAAGATCCTAAAAATGGAGTGTAATGCATGTATGGTGAAAAGCACCTAGAACGTGTGGTTGGGAACGTGACTACGGTCCAACCGACATCAAATGAATGAGCTTACGTTGACCACCAACACCCACTACACCGCTCATTGTCACGTAATTGGATGGAGAGTCGTCCGAGAAGAATCGATCGTAAGCGATATTGAAGATAGTTGCCAACTGTTCGGGGTGCTCATGGATCGCGTCCGACTGATCGAGTTGGCGAACATGATAAAGTGCACGCAGTGGCACTTCGAGTAGGGCGGGAGGAACTGTACCGGAGGTAGGGGCGTGGCCAGCTCGATTCATCGAGGAATGCCTGGGGCCAGAGTCAAGGATGCCGATTGTGTCTGGGGTGTAATTCCATACGGTCAAATGTGCCGATGTTAGCTGAAAAAGAGAAAAAGAGGAAACACCCGGGATGATCCAGAATTCCATTATGTTTCTCAAACTTTACAGTAGTGATATACGTGCGATAGACCGTCATCTCCACGGATGGTTCCATGCTAACTATCGGTTGGGTCAATAGTAAATCGCAAGAATGAAGTGGGTATATCGTCGAGGTACCGTAAACGAGGGCGTCCGAGGAGACAAGAAAACGATGGGGAAAAGCAAATGCGCCTATATCTGAAGGGCCGAATAAGGATGCTGCATACTGTGAAGGGCTTATGATTTGCACCCCTGAGGTTTACAAATGGAAAAGGTAGCTCAGTAACGGACATCAATGTGGGAACAGTCAAGAGAGGAGAGCTACCCAGAAAAATACTCACAAAGAGACATGTGGCTTTAAGAACTCATTCCTACCAAGCGACTGCATATGCAGTGTTCTAGATAGTCCATAACTTTCGTGTGCATCACAAGCGGATCATTTGGTATATTTCTCACATGCAACGCTATCCCCAGGAGCTGCCGGGTTGTATCAAGAACCAATCAACGTCGGTTCAGCAGGAGAGTCTGAGAACCGAGTCGTTCAGAAAGTTCAAATATTCCCATGCAATATATTCGACAACGTGTCGCCGTTGCCTATGGGTTGCATGCGAGGAAATAAGACGGGCCAAGAAATCTGGTCCGTGCGCATATCAAATAAGGGTATGCTAAGAAATCGGCATATATGCCGAAATCGAAGCGCCGCTTATGCCCAAAAATCCGTGGGATATCGCGAGCCAAGGGAAAAAAGGTAACGCATTGGTGCTTCCGCGCTGATCACTCTATGCACAGCCCCGTCAGTGGCATATAGCAATGGGTAATCCAAACTAGATAACTGCAGTTAGCACTCTGAGAGCAAGAGAAAGCATACAAACTTAAATTGCAACTTATGGCGGCGTGCGGTAGACAACAAGAAGTCATGAACACTTGGTTTTATGAAGAGGTTGGTTTGGTGTGTGAAATATCTACAAAATAAGATATAATGCACCGCTGGAACATTCAGTATGCGACAGTATGAAAGAGAGATCTGTAGTTTCGGAGGGGACAGAGCACAGCGGATTAGTGCAATCACTACACTCAATTAAACGGAAGAGCCTCAAAGGCCATGTGGCTCAGGTAAACCGCCACAGATTGCCCAAGACAGTGTCAACCGAAAGTTATCGGACACCACCCAATTATGTGGGAAAGAGGCATAACTCGCAAATGAACATAGGTAAAAAACGATATTTTTCCAGTACCATTAACTTTAAAAAGTATACCGACAAGGGTCAAGGACAGCATCCGCATGTGGAAGAGGAGGAAAAAAGAAAAAAAGCGAAAGATTTCCAGGAACAGTGGTGTCAATTGGTTGACACTTGCAAGTGGCTGTTGTGACCATTAATCACACACTAGCACAAAAGCTTGCAATGCGCTGCTTAGCTTCAATAAATGCATGAACAGACGGAAGAGTGATGGTGGATGTCAAATAGGGAAGTCACACTTTAGCGTAGAGCTGGTTAGTCACCTTTTCGTCCAATAATTTCTTGAAGCTCTGCCAACGGTGCCCTATCTGCTGCATCGAGCAGGGCGGATAGGGGTTTGGATGCTACTGCTCAATCCTTACCGCCTTCTTATTCCCCTCTTGCGCTTTTTCACTCTTATCGTCCAGTTGCAGTTTCACTTTTATCCCCCCCCCCCAATTTTCAACCCCCCGGTTCTTGTTCCCCCCAACATGCTTTGCTAGGCGTTTATCTTCTAGTTTCAACTGACATGCTAACGCGGAGCGTCATTCCTGTCTTGTCGACAAGCCCATGTCCAAGCAAGCGGTAAAGCCCAATTCATCGGCTTCCATTTGGAGCCCTCGATCTTCCTTCAGATTGGCATGCCTCACTATGCGCACATTGCTACAAATCGGTCAACAGGCAGCATTTGCCCGAAAATTAGAGACCCTCTCGATCGATATCTGCTGCTTATCGGAGACCCGCCTGCAAGACTCAACCTCAGTGCTCACTATGCGATCTCCTTCAGGTGACACCTGCAGCACTTTCGCATTGTGCCTATCAGGTGACGATGCAGCTTCGAGCACCGGCCAAGCCAGTGTTAATACTGCTCTGAGTCCCAGGGCTGAAGCAACTCTGGAGGATTGGATTCCAATCAGTAGCCGGATGTGTGCGGTCCGATTGGTTGGCTCGTTCAAAACTTCAAAGTCGCGTGGGATTAACAGGTGTCTATTCGTCATCGCTACCTATGCACCCACAAACGCTAGCGATGATTCGGTAAAAGACGACTTCTATAGTCAACTGAACGAGCTCCTTCGCTACAGAAGAAGCATGGACGCTGTTGTGCTGGTTGGGGATCTGAACGCTCAAGTTGGAAAATTATTCACTAATGAACTTCATCTGGGCGGCCAACATGGTGCAGGCTCCCGTAATAAGGGTGAGCGGTTACTTCATTTGTGTGAAGATGCTCGCTTATATTTTGGGAGCAGTAATTTCCGACACAGCACCTGCCGGAGAGTGACTTGGCGCCCACCAGCCTCGAACCAGTTATGGACTCAAATCGATTACACTGCGATAAATTAAAGATAGAGAGGCAGCGTTCGGAAGTATCGCACGATTTAGAGCACAGGTGTGGACACCGTCCATGCACTTGTATGTGCTGACCTGCGGATGCGCTTTGGCGGGACGCCCACGACGACGTTGTGACCGCATTGACAACATCCAACAAGCGAAGCCAAATGTTCTGAATGCCTATAAAAGTACGCTGTCATGCGAGTTAAGTAAGCTCTCACTGGATGCAAGTGAAACACTGGTCTCATATTTATCATACCTTACTAGCAGCAGGTAAATCCTCAAGTGGTAAGTCAAATCGCCAACATGGACATTGGGTCTCTTCGCAGTCTCTGGAACTTATCGATGCTCGCCGGCACACTGCGGCTGGAAGCGAACACAATGAAACTCGCAAAGAGCTCCGGACAAAACTTCGTGCTAGCCTAAGGAGAGACCGCGAATCCTGGTGGTCTCATCGTGCTACAGAGATGGAAATGGCCACTGTCCTTGGTAACCAACGTAAGTTAATCCGGCTGTTACGGGAAACGGGCAGCATGAGACTTAGTGTTAGTGAAACTATCTGTGACGAAAGTGGACAGCTTATCCACACATACACACACGCACTATACACGTTAGCTAGAGGTGGGAAACACCTCAGTTACTGTGCCGCAATGTCTAAAAAAAGAGAATAAAATGCAACAGGTGCGAGCCAGCTGAGCTACCAGTAACGGATGGGCATCGTTCCGGTAAGCTATCTGCCGCCTACTATGCAGCAGACGGGTTAAAAACGCTAGTCGCGGTGAAAGCCAAGTGAGATTTGGCCTGGTACTCGTGGTTGGTGTCTGGGATGAAGACTTGGGGTCCGTGATCACGGTGACATGCTGATGCAGACCAAAGAAAGTGGGGAAGTATGATTCGAGTCCTTAACTGACAAATAACCCTTACTGAGCCGCTGTGGCGATAAACCAGCGGTTGGTATGTGTAAAAGACTGGGGTTGTGTGCACCTGCTTCGTGCAGACTGAGCATTGAGATAATGTTGACACGACGGTATACCGATTAGAGGTATACAAAGCAGGAGAGCATACAGTGGCCGAAAATGTGGAAGGTAGAGTGAAAGCTCATGGTGGACAGATAATCAAGCAAATGCCACCTTGAATCCTCATCGAGAAAACCCCGGAGTTTCGCTTGTGTAAAAGGAAGTCCTTGAGAAGCAACGGCACTGAAGAGAAAGTAATCGTGAAAGATTTCGAATCGTAGTGGCCACTCGGAACAGATGGAGAAACTAGGGCGCCCAAATCCAGTATCCACGTGACTGAATCATTCGAATGGTCAAAAAAAGAGTAAAACTGCAGTGATACCGAATCGCAAGAAAACGGGTGACACCTCTAATCGGACACCCAGACATCTGCCGGAAAAAGCTGTGGATGGCGCATGACACACAGTGGGGGCACCAATCGTCCGGAGAAGTCAATACCGTAGGCCAAACATAACAAGTGTAAAAGCGAATGTGTCTTAAAGCCGGTACATAAAGGGTGGGATGTAATACGACGAAAAAGACAGGCCCCAAGCGGTTTAGGGACAAGAGAACAAATGGATATGGCAATAGACAGCGAGTTAAATTACATAAAGAAATGCTGTTTGGCTGGTAACAAATAAACGGAGGGAACTGCGAGAGAATAAGACATGTCAGGATGTAGTCTGCTGAACATGCAAACCAGATATGAACATCCAGTTAACTCAGACTGTGAAATCCCACCGGAAATACGGAAGAACTTATGGCTCGTGGAAAACTCCCGATCTTCAGGCAACAAGTGGCACACTGATTGTGTCACATGGCATCATCGATTACCGGACAAAGGATGATACTTTGGCCATGGAAACTAATGAAAAAAGTCGGATGTGTACGCGAATTAGTAGAATACACCCACTACAGTATGTCCAAATAAAGATTAATGAGGAGTACAGAGACGAGACTCTAGTTGAATGTGAACTGCAAAGTCTACCTTCACAACACGCGGTGACCAAAAGAGCTTCTTCCGTCTCGGCTGTCGTCTGCCATACTCCAATACCCCAGCCAAGGTGAAGTCACCCCAGTCCGGTGACAAGGGGCTGGGGATCCTGGGCGCTGCTTCTGTTTGCATAACAGTTCGAGACCCGATGAAAGAAAAGGGTTCGCCAGTAGAATTTTGTCGGGGCAGTGTAGCTCGCGAGGTTGACGCTTCGGAAGAAGACTAAATTGAAATGACAAGGTAGGGTAAAAAAGGAAAACAATCGATGGTGATGACTGAAAAGGCATATACGAGATAAGATATACGATAAGACTTAGCGGCGTATCATGGGTGGCGGATCATGTTAGTAGCCAAAAAGAAGGCCTATTGTGAGTTGGCGCATGAGAAAAGTTGGACATGGTCCGAACGGGTTTATATCTCCAGGTACATTTATTCCATTGCGAGGGCGCCGGTAACGATGGTCCGCTATAGAGCCGGCTAGTAGCCTTAAGGATAATAAGCAAGTTTTGTAATCCGAGGGGACGGGTTCCAGCCTGCGTAGGAGACCGGGCGACCCTCGCAATATTCTTATCCAACGTGCGACTCGTGGCGGCTATGCGGCAGCGAAGCGTCGGTAAGGCATACCGGCGTAGTGAGACAGAGACTGTATTTAAGAGCAAGTAGAAAAGGTTTTGTACAACTCTGAAGTATGAAAAATCAAAAATATTTAATTGTAGATTGTCAGCGGTAGTGTTTGGTCAGTTCATCGTTTATCCTTGTTCGGTTAGGAAATCGTATCGGTGTCATTATTTCCGGGAATACGATGCATCTTTTTGCATTTAATGTGCACCGTTTCACAAAAGTACAGCTTCCGAAATAATCGCCGATGCGTGTTTTAAAACACCTCACAGAATCGGCCTCCATTAGTCTTTTTGGTAGTGTAGTCCATAAATTTACAATTTTTCATTCTATACAAAGTTGATGTGATACTCTGTTCATGCATCAGACCCTAAGTTTGAAACGGTGTCATCGGGTGTTACAGGGCTCCCGCAGGTGAAATTTTGGCCGCAGTATAGGGAAGTTATTCAAGATTAGTCTTCGATGGGTCGTAATAAGGTCGATTCGTACTCGGCGATAGGATAGTGCGTAAAGTCCGGGCCTTTCACAACGTTTTTCATACGGAAGCTTTCGTAGGCTGGGAATCATTCTAGTTGCGATGTGCTGTATTTTCTAGAGTATTTCTCCATTGGGTCATCGGATGGTAAGCTGGGGCGCCGTATTCAAGGATAAGTCTAACGAGCGAAGTGAATAGGCGAAGAACGGTTTCTTCAGACCATATGAAGAAACTACGCTGTAATGCCCAGATCATACGAGTTTCCGCACGGTACAATTTCTCTGTGTTTTCAAGTGATCTTATATCATGTCGCGAGAGCACTCCTAAGTCTTTGACAGATATGTTAGGGTGGTGCAACTAGCCGTTCAAAGTGTGTGACCAAGTGGCTGGACGTCTGGTGATACTGATGAACTTCGACTTGCTTGCGTTACGAGGGAATTGCACTTCAGTGGACCACGTTGACAGTCGATCTAAGTCATGCTGGAAGCGAACGCAGTCGTCCTGGTTCTCAATGATCCTCTGGATTTTCAAATCATCTGCACAGGACACATGGTGACTGGAGCTGCTACGGGAGATCGGTGAGCTGAATAAGAAATAGTACTGGCCCAAGTACAGTTCCTTGAGGTACGCCAATGGTCGATGGGAACCAGTCTGTCAGGTAGTCATTGACCTGTACTCTAAACTTTCGTCCCACAATAAACTCGTGTAACCCGTAGGTCCTCAGTTTACGAAGGAGTACCTCGTGGTTCACTCTGTCAAACGCATTACTAAAGTTGACATACACCACGTCAACATCCTTTCATTCGTTGAGAGCTCGTACCCACTGATGGTTTGCGTACATTAAGTTGGTGATGCAGGATCGCCCTTTCGTGAAGCCGTGTTGAGCTGGCGTCAATACGTCGATCCATTCGAAGAATGATAGCAGACACTTTTACGACCTTCCGAGAACTTTGGACAATACCGGAGTCAAACAGATCGGTCCATAATTCTCTACTTTTTTCGGATCACCACCTTTGGGAAGTGGTCTCACTATCGAGCATTTCCAGTCACTGGGACAGATCGTGTAGAGAGTGATTTATTTAATAGGTTTGTCACGGCAGGTGAAATGACCTTCGATAGGGTCTTAAATATTAGTGATTGAAGTCCATCTGGTCCAGGGGACTTTGCACCATCGAGATTGACGAGTAGCTGATACACTTCGACTGCATCCCATGGTAGGCTGTCGAGCAAGACTGGCGCCACCTGTGCAGGTACTAGAACCGCTGCCGGTTAATTGGAAAATACGGTGAGAAAGTGCGAAGTCAGGGTGCCAGGGTGCTCCGCGCTTGAAATGAGCGACTGTCCACCTCAGCTCTCTAAGACCGGTAGGTCGCCAGCAGGTTTCGATTGACGTTTCCAGTCGGCAAACATTCTCTTGGGGACGGTTGTGGCCGAGGCTGCTAGATCATCTTCGAACGGCCGACGTTTCTTGATCTTTGAGGCATTACATATGTTACGCTGTTGTTTGTACGCCGTGTAATCTGCATCACAACCCGAGATGATGTATCTATCTCAAAGTTTACGACGTTCTCGTGCTAACTGTTCATATTCTTTATCAAACCAATGCGGTTTGACAGGTTCGACATTTGAATACTTCAGAGGAACGAACCGAGTACACAGCGAGTTAAGCTTTCCCATCATTAATGACCAACAGGTCTCAAGCGACGCATCCTGCGGCAGTGTCCAATCAATCTGACTTGCGGTTTGGACGAGCCCGTTGCAATCCGTATTCCAACAGTTGAATGTCGGCTTCCGTTGGTTGTAATACGGTAATATGGTAACATCAGTTCTATGCATATCACAATGGAGCAGTGGTTACTGTTCGCCAGAGGTTTGAGGACTGTGACTTGTTTCAGATTCTGCTCGCAGCTCGTAAACATTAGATCCAAATAAAATGCCACATGCGGAGGTTGGACGACATGTTGTGTTGCCCTGATTTCAATAGTCAGTAGCGGTAGAGATACGACGGAGTCTCTGGTAATGGTGTTGATGAGTTAGTGGGCCGGCCGAAGTGAGACGGTATGCAGTAGTAAGAAGTGCATGGAGCAGTTTCTTTACGCATTTTCGCAGAAGCAACCACTTGCCAAATTGTAGTCATGCAGAGGGATACAACTGTGCACCCATGGCCGCGTGCTTAATGTGAAGAAGTTGGCGGGAACAAGTTAAAAACCGCAGACGGATGTGTAATGTGCACCGAAAGACAGAAAGGGTGCACATACAAACAGGGTCACACAGTGGTGCACGGTTAAAGGCCTGAGGTTGCAATAAACTGCAGAGCACACGGTAAACACATCGCAAGCGAAGGCAGCTAGTAGAGATTGTATTTCACGTGTGTGTGAAAGAAGAACAAGTGAATAAGAAACACGAGTGACAAAAAGAAGACCAAGTGAGAAAGAACGAAGATTCACCAATTAGTGATACCATAGATTAAAAAGAGATTAGGAATAAAAGTGTCACGAAAAAAGGATAGGAAACCCCACCAACATCCCAGTGCAGACATGGAGAATAAAGAAAATATCAATTGAAACTCAGGTAGTTCATCAGGTTCGTGAAAAGAATTAGGCCTTACTGAAGTGACAGCAATGTACACATGACAATCACATGATAAAGGTGGTCCATTCAAACAAAATTGGAAGGACCCCAATGAATGGCCGGTGGCCGAGTGGTCTGCGCTCCTGGTTTGCAACCAGAAGGTTCGAATCCGCGTAGGGGCGGACGTCCTCGCGGTATACTCAGCCCGCGCGAGACTGGTAGTGGTCGAGCGGCAGCGAAGTGCCATTACGGCGTACAGCTGACATATTAGTATCAATATTATTATTATTATTAATATCCATGAAGACGAACGATAAGTCGTTCTTTTGTTGTTGCCACAAGTGTGACAGTAAAACTTTGTATGTTGCATGCGACGGGCCACAAGAATATCTCCACGATACTTAAAATTCATAGTCGCATTTGCCCCTCGTTTCAGGGTGAGTCGGGATAATGAGTTAACACTACTGGCTTTAATGAACAAAAACATCATTAACAAAACGACTAAGATGATTACCAATACTGTATTATGGTAGCAAGTAAAAGCTTGAATCTATACAACTTCAGCGAAATATGATCAAAATCGTTAAAAAATTAAATATGATCTAATAACACATCGAGTTTTTCGAGTTCACATGTAAGATCATTGAAAAAACAACGTGAATTAGACCGCACAAATGTGAGATATAAGTGTCAGTGTGTAATCGTGCTCGGAAGCTAACAGTACGCTTATCACAGAGGATGTGCGAGTACATTCCGGCCTAGTTCTACGAAGGCGAGATGAGATATTCAAACAGCTCTTTTATGTCACACCTCCTTGATTTTGGCCCCTCAGCCTCTGAAAATGGCTACAAGGTCACATGCTCACGACATAGTTTCACGCAAGGTTTGTAGGTGCCCTTCTTTGTTGCTGGCTCTGAACTGATGCGCCGTCACTTTTGGACACCATGAAGACGTAGAAGCATGTATTCCCATTCATGCATTTTAATGTTTCCACAAATTAATAATGGAAGAACAAGAGAAAGTCTGTGAAGGAACGCAGTTACTGTTGGCACAACTTAGTCGTCAGTTGTTCAAAGTTCGTTGACTGATTGTGTGTCGGTGGACTCTTAAATGATGGTGTATACAGCTGACTAAGGGTGATACCCTACCAAAGCTTGTGTGGCAAAATAATGTTAATACATGTTTTCGCACACATCTCCTATCTATTGCTGAGGCTATTTACATCCACCATCTAAAGCCCGAACTGTGTGTGTAAAAGCGGTACATACGTCTGTTACTATTACCTTGACCAACGGACAATTTTACCTAACCATTTGATTGCTATCTGAGCTTCTATGTTGTACATTTGCGCTCTGCTTACCATCTTTAGCATAACTTTGAGCTATCGACTGACTGTTCGAACAACCCAGAAAGCAATTTTCAACCCGATTTGACGCTAACAACACCGAATCTCTACCATGTAAACCGTTGGGTCCGATGAGATTTTACTTAAAAATAATTATTAATTCAATACTCATTTGGTCCTGGCTTAGTCACAGTCAGTTGAGTTGATACACGCTATTTCTCTGGAATAAGACCTAAGAGACTGAGCACATTTTCTTCTTTAGGGACGCGTTGTGATATGGCCCAATAACCAAACCAAAGACAGAACTTTAGCGGCCAGCCATACCAGCGGCTAACACGCAACCTTGCGAATTTTCGTGTCCCGATCTCGCCCACACTGAGTCGCGGTAACAAACTTCATCGTGTGATAATAATACATTAATTCCGCTGGACTGAAACGAACAGGTGGATACGGAGCAGTGTTAAATAGAGCAGTGGATTCAAGCAAGGCTAAATACAAGTGGAAACAGCGTTCTCCTATTGGGATACCTACTGAAGCAAGTGCATCTTCACGTTCCGCGCCAATTAGCGATTTGGAGGTAGACGAACAGCGGCTCAAGACCATACCACTATCTGCCGACCGAACCTGGGTCTTCCCGAGGCCAAACAAACCGGAGCGACTTCGCGCTTGTACAAAAGATGAGGGCATTGCACGCTGTACATCCATCATGATCAAATCATCACTATTTTCACGGCTGTGTTGCAGCCTCTGAAAATGCGCTTCGTCAACAACGCGGTCAGCTGCTGCCAGAGCGGCCTGTAGGTTGAGATTCTGAAATTAGACAGAGATTAGAACAATGAGAAGGGGAACGGTGGAACTATACAATAAGATAGAGGACACACCTGGGTTGTCAATGAGGTGTACGTGAAACCAATCGTGGGCCTAAAGATAGGAGGGAGAAGTGGGGCATTAACGCTTTAGGAGAAGATGAATGACTTGACAGGTTAAAAAATAAAAGAAACTGTAGTTGAAAGTGACACACATTGCAATAATCCCGTGCCATTTGCTCAAGGTTGCAAACACCGAGTAACAAGAGAGCTGGGAGGACGAAAACACTCCATCGATCCCTTTGGGACAAGTAGAACTGAGGCCTCACTCGAAAGATAGCCAAGCCTGTACCACAGGAGGAACAAGTACTACGTCCATCAGTGAGGAGACAAAACGCTTGCGAACAAACGTTTGGCTTAAAGATAAATTCGGCTGAACAATTCCAGCTGCCGGTATGCTCAGTTAATTTGTTCAAGAAGAACTGGGTCTCATGAACGGTAGTACGAGAACAAGAATACGATGTGCTGAAGTCAATAGCGCATGTCAAAATAGTACTAAAGCGTTCACAAGGTGTAGAAAACTATCCATAAGTGAGTTGGTTAGCAGCAACTGAGCGTTCAAATTAACTGCTGCTTTTCTTGTTCGAAAAGTGCTCTTAAGCTACTCGATGCACATTTGTCAGTGTAATAAACGCGGGTTCGCAATGCTGCTTTATTATAATGATGTTTTGAAAGCTTTTCGCGTCTGGTTGAATACGCCCAGAACGTTAGGAGTAAGTTTAGACGAGGCACGCATAAACGGTGTGAAAACTGAAAGCGCTGTGCTAATTGGCAAGTACTGAGAACGTTCATCGCCTGAAAATATCTTAAAGGGCATGTGACATTGACGTGAACGCAGACGAAGTGGTCAGCAGAGTAGAGCCAGCTCCCAGTCTCTTGGCAGAGAGGTGAGCTTAAAACTGTGGGAATGGACCAATGCCCCGATTGGGGCGATCATCAAAACAAACACAAAACACTGTGTGTCATCATCATCATTATACACGTTAGCTACAGATGGAAAACACCTCAGCTATTGTGCCGCATAGTATGTGTCAGTAGATTGCGACAATATAACTATCTGAATGTGACGCTTGCTGTGCTCTTAATTGGAGTGGGGTTGAGTCACTATAGCAATTAGAAGCAACAGTAAATGGGTCATAAACACGTTCAATTGACAAGGCAATCAATGCAGATTCTCTCTAGCAGTATGAGATCATTCCAGTGGAAAATTGTAGACATTGCTGCCGTTATTCAAATGGAAGTAGTAGATGATCCATTCTGACAGGGAAGATTAAGCTAGTCAACTTGGTGACTATCGTTCATCAGGTTCGGTCAGGACAGAATACCCAAAATCGTGGATGCAGTGTGACCATTAACATCAACAAACGCTGAGATAAACCGGCACCCACACTGCTCATCTACCCAAAAATCACCATCAGGCGCCATTTGATAGAATGCAAGCGCTTTTTGGGTGATTTTAGTTCTGTTGTCATTGTAGCCCCCTCCTGAAACGTCAACCTCAGTTTTTAAATGTTGTAGATCATCCATCCCCAGCGTTACTGCAAAACTTGAAAGATTAGCCTGATGAACGTAGTAACCCCTGACAGACGGAAGGGCTATGCCTGTCTGCACGCAGCATCATCTGTGTTTACCGTCGTATAGAACACCAAAAGTCAGAAGAAAGTCCGGGCAACGATAAACATTTGTTAGTGATAAGGCAGGGTATCGATTGCGCTGTACGTTTGATGTTGAAGTCTCCAAGTTGGTTACTTTTCATTTTTTGCCTCTTCTGCGGTCTTCCTGTGTCCAGTGGTCCTTACCTTGCACTCCCTTCTGTCGACTTCTGCCCCGTCTGTTTCATCCTCCTGGAGTCATGCTAAAACACACCAGCTCTTTTGTGGTCGTCCATCTAGATTACGAACTGCGTTTGGTTTGCTAAATGAAGAAAGATATTGGCAGTAGCTGGTAAGAAGTAGTGTGAAAGCGCTCGTGCACAGTCGACGGGGCCAAACGCCGCTACCAAGCAGCCTTTGAGGACGTTAAAATACTACCAAAAATCGTGGAAATAGTGTCCCACGTGGTTGTCGAGATGTTCTGGGGAGATGAACTAGCCATCTTTCATTCTGAAGTAGCGTACACTTCCACGACGCGTGAGCTAGCTGTTTAATATTTCGTTAATGCACGCAGTAGAGTAAAAAGGTACACAACACATTTTGCAGCCTTGGCATTTGTGTGTATAACACGAGCTGCTATTTGCGTGTAGCCAGCATCATCGAAAGATAAACGTGCATCATCAATCGTAGCGACCATGGCAAATCCGGCGGAGAGACCTGATCTCCCACAACACATGCATCTCAGAACACAACGGAAATTAAACGGTATTACGTTTTTCTCGGAGCAAACATCAACGATCCGAGATTGCCAATTTCACAAAGCAAAGCCACTGAAGTATTGTCGTCCACCGGAGTGGGTTTGTCAAACTCCACATCTACGAACAACTCGCAGTCGAATCCGCGAGGCAAATGACGGCGCTCTTCATCTAAAACGGTTACGGTATACTTTGTTCTGATGTTTGTTCCGCATGCATACATGCAGCTGGAGTAATATGTTATTAAGCGAGGATGGCTCTGAGCACACTTGACGCCGGTCGGTGCCTCTGTATTCGCCTGAAGTTGTCGGTGAGGCTGAGACTAGTGTGTTGGAATTAGCCTAAGGATGGAATGTGGAAAGTGATAGTTGTTTAAGAGTATCCCCGTTTGTCCCGCCTAACTTGCAGTTAAATAGGTGCATAGATATCACCGGTGCGAAGGAGTGACAGCAGCGAACTTAGTGGTTGATCGTTCCAACAAGCCCGATTGTGTCCACAAAATTAAAAACCGTGGAAATGTGTGGAACATGTGGAACGAAGCAACCGCATCCCGAGGTGGAATCTTTTATAGAACCTCTACACGTATCATGCAACAATCAATCAGCGAAGTAGACAGCAGCAGAAAACACACGCTGATGGGCAAAAATCCGGTGCCTAACGCCTCAGTTATGGATCGCATTCATACAGTGTAATGGCTGAAACAGGCAGAAAGTGAGTTTCGTCGGACCGACTGTGCGAAAAAGCGTACGTCGTTAAATAAAACGACGAAGAGAGGCAGACGATTGTTTCATAGGAAGCGTTACTCATTACAAGTCTCCGTCGAAGACGTATCGCATAGATGCTGTAAGATGCCGAAACACAGAATGCTACGAGTAGAAGAGACGAATAAGGCGCGCTTGATGCAAGGCGATTCAATGCAGAGTACTTGAAAAAGTAACAGGGCTGCATCAGATGGGAGTAGAACAAAATCCCGGGTACACCCGTAAAAAGGAAAGTAAAGAAAAATTATCAGTACACCCATAACAAGTTGCGCTACTTGCGAGAAATACGCGGGAAAAATATCCAGAAGACTAAGAGTACCATCTGAGGAACATAACAAAAACAACAACAGTGGCAGTACATCAGCCAGTTGAAATGGCGTTTCGCTGACGTACAACCATGATGACCAACTGAACGGAGAATAATAACAGTAAGAGAAGGGGGACAATAGAGTAAACGCTAAGTGCGCTAAACAAACATTGAGAGTTAAGGCGCCTACACCATGTGTTAACAACATACCGTCACAAACAGCTGGCTATCGTACAAAGATAAGGCGGCATGGACGAGATAGCTTTCTTGCGGTTTTCACTGCTCCGTGCCGTAATCAGCCATTACCCCGCAGATAACTCAGTAACAAACACAGTAAACAGGCAGTCCCAATAGAAGACGAAAACAGACACGCCATCGGAGCCGACTACGAGCCATATCTTGTAACGTCTCAAGACAAGCACAAGGGGGGTTGCGTGAACTACACACTGGAAGGCGAGATAAACCTACGTCCTGAAGTTTGCTCGTCAGTGACTTCATTTCCCGCTACCGAGTCAGCTTTTATCCACCTCGAGCCTTGCACCACCCTACATTTGGCAGCCAAATAAGGTTCTCCTCGGTAAGCGGTGACCGGCCATAGGTAGTACGTGCCGAAGCTGTCTGTAGTTCTCAGGAACTAGCCTACCTATACATGCCTAGTACTCGCATACCCAAATCATGGTCGTGGACAAGCTAGTGCCATCCGACACCAGCGATGCTCCGCAGACAGCGATGATCAAAAAATTAAAGACGCCGTAATTCCTCAGATCGAAGAGATCAAGTTTCACTTCCACAGAGTAGGACGGCCCTCACTGTGGCCTAGTAAACACGGCATTTCAGACGGAGGGAAATTTCTTTCTGTCGCAAAAGATGACGCAGATTCAAGAAAGCCATTCTGGCTTTTAATGCATGAACTGACTTCAGTTTCTATGCGCCCATGGTTGCTGTTACCAAGATAAGTGATTCGAGCAACTACCTCGAGTTCCTCGCTATCAAGAGTCAAGGGGTCTGGTGAACATACCACCAGATGCTTAAGGGAAGGAGAACAACGGATAATATTATAAAAGACCGTATACGTAAGACTGCCATACAGCTTCGTCGTAGTGTAGTAACAAAAAAGTGAGCCGAACCGAATGTATACCTCACGTTTGGACATCGCGAGCTCCGCATTTAAACGCTTGATCTCATTCAAAAGCCGCTTAATTTCCCTCGCCTGATTGCTCATCTGTTGCTGTTGCCTGTTCCCCAAGATGAGAGCCAATTTGTGTCGAGTTGCGGCGTTGCCAAGATAGAATGTCCCGCTGGTGTCTTTTGACTGGGCAGCGCTAGCTATGTACATAAGCTCCAGAGCCCCAGTATTGCTTCCGGACATGACCTTGGAGAGAAAAACAGTGTAGAAAGGTATTGATGAAGGACACGCGGTAAATGAATGACACATAAGAGCAGCACTGTTTCGCAGACAGGAAATCAAAAGGAGTAGTGACAAAAAGATGAGATGAATGCAGACTGGTAGAACCCACGCAGCTTGAATAGGCGTAAAACCTGATAATGGGCGCAACGAAAACACATTACAAGCACGCAGGCACAAAGTATCTGCTATTCGCTGCGACACGACAACAAAATCGCACTAGGGTTTGGTGTATCGTAACGTCGTCACATCTACGCGGATTCGAACTGGTGACCACTGGTATACAATGCAAGCGCGTAATCCCTTCGGCTGGATGTGGACCATTGGTTTTGCACACCGAATTGTGCAAACAAATGCCGGAAGAGCTCACGTGTCAACGCTGGGCGCAATTATCGGTCAGCACATAGCAAACGGATTGTAACATGTCATGCTCAGGCAGGCAAACACCTGAAATAAAGTGAATGAAAAATAAGACTAAAGTTTAAAAGCAGATTGAGAAAAGGAGGTGTTGACTAGGAGAGTTCGTGTGACAACGCAGCTTTTCCAGACGAGTATATGGGATCAAGTTCAAACAGGAAAACCATCAAGCTATATACGGCGAAGAATAACTGACGAAGTGACAGAAATATCACCCTGTAGCAATAAAATTTAAATGTCAGGCAAGAGTGAGCAAAGAAAGCTTGCAAGTGAGTGAAAAGACGCAGGAAACCAGACACGTAGAGATTTGATTATTATCATTATCGGGGAATGAAGAGAGGGCCTGATGATCGGCGCTCAGGAATGTACTTTAAATAGCCATGTAAAACAGGATGTATGCGTTGATGAAGCCTGTCTAAAGTAATTTGTCTAAAATGAAATACTAGTCAGAATGTGGAACGAAAAAAGGATAAGAGGTGAAACGTAATATCAATAAAAGAAAACAATGGTATGTCTCTTCCAGAATGGGAAGCAGTCGCATATTGTTGCTTGATGAATTAAGCGGGTGTGAAGCCAAGAGGAGATGGGTTAACAGAAATGCCACATATATATCGATATAATGGGGCACTGTTCCGGGTAGGAATCAAAGCATGATGCAAAACATAAGCACATGAAAATAAGTAGATCAGTGTACTATGAAGAATCAATATCACACAAAGCGCTAAACAAAATCGTTGTGGCAGAATGCACTCGGTGAACAAGCGCAGTCAGTCTGAATACGGGACATACAATCCAGGAGCGCCATGAGAACACTCAAATCTGAATGGAGGTTGGAACACAATAGTGTGTAGTCATGAGCATACTGAATACTGGGAATAGAAAGCGAGAAGATCTGCTGCTCTGTCCTAGGTGGATCGGGCACGTGCGCTGAATCACGTCGCTGATTCTTGCGCGGTGGCAGCATATTGCAACTGCACTACATCCTATCCGGGTGCGATACGTTCCCTACGCCTGAAGCCCGCAAAGTAGGAATCGCTTAGATTACGACACGGATTTCGCCTCGACTAGCGTCTCTGACAATTTGTTCCAGTATTTCACCACTCGACCCTCGAAGCATAGAGGGTGAGCGATGTGCTTTAAATGCGGTACCACTAGTTTGTACCGGTGTCCGCGTGTGTTGCTCGGTGCGCGAACGTGCAGCAGCGACCGTAACATAACGAAGTGACCCAGGTGCAGTATGCGGTGTTAACATTAGTGAAGGACAAAAAAAGAAGAGGATGTGGAGACAGAACGGAAGAAGTGTCGATGTCAGCGAAGTAGGCCCAGTCCATCAAAGGATGGGATAACCTAAAGAAAGGCAGAAAAAGGTGTGACAATGAAGAACACCTTGTTTTGGGGCAAACTAATATGAGGGGTGCTCCTAAGAGCGTAAAAGAGCACCGAAGTTGACGACAGAATGGAAAAAGGTAGCAAGCATACTCTCCAGAAACATGAAAAACGAGATCCACCAAGCTAAAATCATACCTGACTTCCCGCGTCCGATTGCATCGAAGTCTGGAGCTGTAAAGTTAACGTAGCAAGCGGGTTCGGTTGGTCGACGCACTGATAGAGTGAACTATCTATTAAAGTTAGCAGTCAATTCAACCACATCAAGCTGAAGGTCAGCTCATGGTGAGATGGACATCTTGAAATTGAACATCTGATGGAAAGGCCTTCTACAAGTAAAGCGAATTAATGGAAGCCCCAGAAACCCGTCCAGTACTAGGACAATGCAAAGTGGATGGATACAGGATTTTGACTATGAGTATCACGTAATAAGCTCCCATATCGCGCGTACTTATACAATTTGTCGGTAATGTCCTACGAGATGTGGACTCAGATCGAAGTGGCCTTGCAGTTGGGTAATTCGATAAAGTCGGTGGAACGAACGAAATGTTCGCGCACGTACGTGGTCAGATAGATTGTTCAGATCCACTGACAATATTACACTGAGGTGCACTGTGAGCGGCTGTGCTACGAGATAAGGAACTCCGCGCAGAGAGATGTTTGGTCAGAACACAACCAGCAACGCATCACCACTGTACTGGTGCAACCAGCTAACCAACAAGAAGGTTCGACCGCGGATACAACGCAAAAATGTGATGGCCTGTATGAGAGAAAGACCAACAATGGAATGTGTCGGGAGGAACAGCGATGCAGGAGAAGTGAGCAATCGCAAGGTAAAGCACTACACATTTAAGAACACTAAAAAACGCAAATCATTTTGTGATTAACAGGGTTTGTTCTGTATAAAAACGACTACACACTAGCAATAGGAGCTGATGGAGATAAGATTGATTCGGACCAAAAGTCGCGCAACGCAAAGTCGGAAACAGTGGATGGAGTGAAAACGGTCGCAACATAACGCAGTATTGCTAATAATAAGGGACTGTTGGGCAAACAACTAGGGGTTTGGCGTGCTGATCTCGTAAAGTATTCAAAATGGTGATCTGGAGTTGACAAATAGGCTGGTCGATAATTCATGCAACAGGTAACAAACCGAAAAGATATATTACTTGGTACTTAAAGAAGATGCTGGCTCGCCAGTAAAATTCGACGGCGGCGCTAATGTTACATTCGACTGACAAGAACCAAAGGAAGCAGTGTGCAGTGATGTCAGAATTTGTTCACTAACGTAGACCAGTATCATAACTGTTCTCGGGATGCGGCACGTGTTAGCATCGTACTTGTACCTGTTGCAGCGTAAATACAGGGGCTATACAGCCGCGCCCTATGCGAAAACCTGCCTCCTCCCTGATACGAGATTCCGGTTCCGCAGTGAGGCGACGATGGAGCAATGAGGGCAGCAATTTTATCAGCACCGGCGTTAAGCAAATATCCGTTTGATTAGCACAGTCGGTGCACCGATCCTTCTTGTATATTGCCAACATGATCCAGTCACCACAGTTAGCGGGGATTGTCCCTTCTTTCCATGCCAGTTCGATCAGGTGTGCCACTGCAGTGCAGAGAACCCCATCACCACCACATCAACATCATCATTTCAGATTAGCTGAAGGTGAGAAACACACTTGTACTACTGTGCCGCAAAATAAAAAAGTATATGAAAAAGTGAGATACTAAACAATACAGAATATAAAACAACAGGTAAAACACGGATAAGTAACATTTCATGATTCGATACAGAGATCGTCGTTGGAGAGGGAAGCTAGAGGGTGGGCAAAAAGACTAACAGCACGAACGCCATTGAGATCGGCTCCTTGCCATGGCAACAAGTGTACCCAACCAAACGTGTTCATTGTCCTTAAGACCCCAGCCAGGCAGTCAGGACGCACCAACCGACGCCAACTTCGAAGCGAGGGCATCCATTCCCCTTGATCAAGACATCGCTTCACCTACCCACCTACTCCTCCAGCCACACTGCCGGCGCGCAAACCAAGCACGACGCGAGAGTCGGTGTGCTGGCATGCGTAACACGAGGCCCAGCTTTCGGAACCTAGTGAATAAAATAACGGTGCTGAGTAGTTCACTCGCTCTTCCTGCACCAAATACGCGACACTGAAGACATTAATTGCTCCCACGATGCTCCCACCAGACATCAACTAAGCTGCGAGAGCAGCGGTGATTGAAGGTGACTAGCCTGTTTATGTCTGTTAATCTGATGGGCCAGGTTTTGCGACCGTACAGGAATGTTGTACGTACAGCGCCGACGCCACTGATGGCGGAGATTGGTAATAACGCCTCGGGTTTTTTTTATTTATCGTTGGTGACCTGATCTTCGATACCACAAGCGTTAATATAGCTGCGTATATGCCTTAATTCCTAAACGGTTTCTAACTGATACCCACCAAGAGTCAGCACAGCGGTGGGTCCCTCCCAAACTTGGAGAAGAAAAAGTCAACTGATAAAGTCGGTCAATTGAAAAACTTGCGACAATAAGTAACATACACACTTGAGTGGAGTAGTCGCAAGTCAATGACACAGGGTGCGAGAACACGAAGCGCAACAACGCAATCTCTCATGTGGTCGGTTAGGCAGTGGAGCGTGGATGACGAGAGCAAGCGAAATGGGCAAGACGAGAGAAAGCCGAGAAAAAATATGAACTACACACACAGTTAGGCGGAGAAATCATGTGCTGAATAAACGAACCTCTGTGAGTTTGTTGACAGCAGCAGAGCACTTGGCTTTCTCTGTCTCGTATGCTTGTTTCATTAATTCCAAGGAATCTCGAAGATTCGCGGCCTCTCGGCGAGCAAGTGCAGCGCGTTGAGAGGCAGAAATCGAGCGCTCATCAGCAGCCTGTGCAAAATAAGATGGACAATTAGAATGGCTAGGATGATGGTCAGTGGGAATGCTTCGGACCGGTAGCAACAAGTGTGACTCACTCGAGCAGCTTCTCGGTGTCGGCGACTGCGGAGTTGTTCTTCGTCCAGAGCTCGACGAGCAGCCTCACATTCCTCATAATAACGCCGACTATCCTTTTGACTGGCGCTGAGCAACTCCCGAGTCTCGGCCAGCTCACGTGTCTGAGATGGGAAATCGAGAGAAAAGTATAGCTCAGTAAAATAGGAAACCAGAAGAAGTCAAGGAAAAAGAGTTGAGTAAGTGAATGTGAGTTGTCACATGGCTAACATTCCAAGTCCGGCTGCCCTTGATGCAACAGATGTCAAGGTGTCTAACACACTAGATGCCTCCACGCCGCCAGACAGGGTGAATGGTGTTGATGGCAGTACGAGAAGCCTTCCTGCCACAGAGAGCAAAGACCTAGCTGCCGACTTAAAGTACCCGATACGAAGGACGATTTGAAGTTATATTAGTGTTAGTAATAATAGGAAATGCCAGCACTATAGTGACATGTGTTTTAAGAGACCAAGCAAGGATCGACAAGGCCGATGGAATAGCGGATGAGTGGATGCATAAAAGTTAAACAACAAATATTAAGGTGGCAAAAAGTTATTGCGCTTGTTTGATATTTCTATTTGAACAGCAATGCTTTTAAATAATTGTTAATAATTTGTTTTGACCTTGTATATCATTTGGAAGTCTGATTTGCGCTCTAGCTATGGTGACAATTTAAATAAGAAACACGTTTTACATCTTTACGGGACATTTTATGCAACAAAGACAAATTCGCAGAATTTTCTTGTACCAATTTAAACTTGGTCGACATGTAGCGGAAACAACCCGTGATATCGACAGTGCACTTGGTGCTGGAACCACTAGTAACCGTACTGCACAATGGTGGTTTCAGAAATTTCGAGAGATTTGAAAATGAAGATCGTTTTGGACGGCCATTGGAAGTGAACAACGATCAAGTAAGGGCCTTAGTTAGAGCGGATCCGCGTTCGAGATCATGCCGCTAGAGTAGCAGCATCGCATGTGAGAGTTATAAAACATTTACGGGCGATTGGAATGTCGGAAAAGTTTTATAAGCTGGTGTCGCGCAAATTGAATGAAAATCGATGAAATCATAGTTTTGAGTTGACGTCCGCCCTTCATCTGAGTAATAAAAACGACCGGTTTCTCGACAGAACTGAGACATGTTATGAAAAGTGAATTCTTTACGACAATCGATGACGAACCTCCAGATAGTTGGACCACGATCAAGCTCCACAACGTTTCCAAAAGCCGAAATCGTAATCAAAAAGGTTATAGTGGCTGTTACATCGTCTGCGGATGGTCTGATCTATCACAGCTTTCTGAATCCAAGCGAAACCATCACAGTAAAGCAATACTGTCAACAAATCGTCGAAATGCACCGGCAGCATATAGGGTCCAATTCTTCTGCAGGATAACACTCGGTCGCACGAAACCTAACAACTTTGCGGAAGCCGCACGAGCTGAGTTACGAAACATTGCTTAACCCATTATACTCCCCTGATCTCTAGCTTACCGACTGAATCGTTTTCAAGCACCTGGATAACTTCCTAGCAGAGAAAAATGTTAAGACCGAAGGAGATGCTTAAACCGCCTTCTACGATTCCATTAGTACCAGAACTGCGGAATTTTGTTCAGCCGGAATAAATAAACCTGTAGCACGTTGGCATAAGCGTGTCAATTTAAATGTTCTTTATTGCAAGTAAAAAGGTTACTTCTTCGTCAAGATATGTGCATTCAAAGGTTACGATTAAAAAGACAAATAACTTTACGTGCGTTTCATCCATTCAGGAATCGCCAGCAGTGCGCATTCCATCGGAAACTGGTAGGGCTCGAACCCGCAACTCGACTGTTGCCAGTCATCGTGAATTAGTTAGTAGATGTCATATAGCGCCGCTCACTATCCACTGACTTACACGTCATTGTTGTGCAGAGGACAGGGTGGCCACCTAACCAAGCGACGACCTTACCAAATTTAAGCCACCAATTAACTTATGGCATTATAAGCAGAATGGTCTGAGTGGCTCAATGGTCTCAAGCACGGACTGGCAACAGTCGAGTTGCGGGTTTGAGTCCTACCAGGGTCTGATGGGATGCACACTGCGGACGATTCCAAAAAGGATGACACACGCGTACAGTGCTTTTCCAGGTGTGTGACGGCTGTCTGAGTGAGTCTAGATGTCACGAATTTCTACCGAGACCATTCAACTCTCCCAACTACTCCTCCGTAGTCAGAAATCACTTTATTACCAAACTTATATCTCCCAGCTCACAAGTGCTTAAGATCTGCATCCAGGGCATACTGCAGTGTTGTTAAACAGAGCACGTTCACATGAGCATATGGCGAACTTAAAACTGGAGAATAACACGAGAGAAGGCCGGGTCGATATAAGGCAGCAAGATGACGTCGGAAATAGATGAGGAGAGCCAACGCCAAATGCAGGTGTGCTGGGTGCCGGGTACGCAGAAGGCTGCACAGAGATCAGGCAAAAGTAAGTAAAAGAGATGCATAAGATTAAAGAGGGAATGATATCTAATAGCAATGTGTTTGCATAGGTGCCATGAAGGCGACTAACCAACTCTTTCAGCTGATCCGATTTCTCAGCAGACGTTTCTTTGTAGAGCCGGCAGAAGTGTTGTTCCGCTTCCAGCATGTCAGCGGCCTCCCGTGCAAGCACTTCAGCACGGTGCGCTCGTCTCGCCAACTGTTCTACACGATCCGAGTGGGAATTCAAGTGAACGAGGCCCGGTGAAGACAATGTAGAATGAGCCACATGGTCCGGTGATGGTGCGGTATCCGTTGTGGTGATGGGTGTTTGAGACTCTCTGTTTAACTCGAGGATAGAGGGAGTTGCACAAGACATGGAGGCGAACATTTCCGAAGCAGACACGCTGTCCACAACTTCGACAGAACGAATTGACAACTGGGCAGTCGTAAATGCCAGGGTAGTGCTACCAGTATCCTGTTGCAAATCACGAACTATTTGTTTCGATTGAGCTATAGCCTGAAGTCGAAGAGAAAAACAATAACGATAAATGGGTAAGCGTTCAGGAATTACGTATCGATCCACATCCAAATTAAAGACGAAAATTACCAACACATACCATATATATATATGTATATATATAAAGGGTTGGCGGTATCCGATACCAAATTTGCCTGTCGCTGTGGCCTTCATGGGACAGTCATAGGGCGGCTGCGACTCAGGAGGGATCATGGGTGGCTTGCGCTGCACCACCCACACACCCCATTTCCAGTGCCAACGCGAAGGAATAAAACTGGGAGGTGTGTGGATGGAAGCCATGTTCTATAAACGGGGCCGGCCAACACCAACAAACAAAGCGAAAGCATTCATGCCTAAATGGGAAATCATGCGTATACAAGGCGTTGGGTGGGCCGTATCTCGCTCAAGCTGGATGCACGCAACCAATAGTTGAGCACAGTGCGGTCACCACGACCGTGCATCCCAGCACACGCTGATGCGCAGATCGGTCGAAAATACACTACCCAGGCAGTAAAATTTCGGAGTGGATTCCAAGACGTCATCAACGATATGGATTCGCGGTAAACATAGGATACCATGTCTAGTGTAGGCTGAAAGAGACAGACAGTCTTGCTTGTGTTGATGGTGAGCCTGAATTTGGCCGTTGTTTAAGTTACAGCACAAGCCATGTGCTGCAGCTCATCCGCGCCGTGTGCAAATAACGCAGTCGTCCACAAAGAAAATACGGATGACTGTCTCACAAACTGGGGTTCTCGCCACGAAACGAGGAATAGTCAGCAACCCACCAACAACACGGTGTTCCACACAAACACCGTAAGCACAAGCGTTATCAAAACCACAAGACATTGTGTGATGGTAAATAGTAAACAGGGTAGGGGCTAAGAAACAGCCTTGCTTCACATCAGTGACAACAGCAATTTCATCCGTTTGTTCATAGAGCTGCACTCCCGTCCGCCTACCACCGTGAAGACATGCCAGTAGACAAACAAACTTACCCAAGACCAGCCCCAATGCCTTGCGGTTCACCGTGTCAAATGCCTTGGTAAAGTCTACAAACAGCAAGTACAATGGCTGGAGTCGCTCTGCATTTCTCCTGCAACTGGAGAGCAGCGAACACCATAAATAGTGCTGCGGCCCAAACGGAATTCGCATTGCTTTTCCGCAACGCTTGGTTCAACGACTTGGGTGACAAGGCGACTGAGCAGAATTCGTGCGATCACTTATATAAAGTCCAAAAGAGCCTTGATTTCTTTTACCAGGTCGACTCAGCGATCCTATTCCCACCTCTTTCCACCTTCCGAGCTAATAAAATGCCTTTCGTGCTTTAGACCAATACACACTTAAACGACAATCGTTTTACATTCACTTCAATTGCATGAATTTTTCTGAAGGTCACACTTCCATCAGTCTGCTTGTAACTTCACTGTTATCTGTTTCCGCTGCCGTTGCAAACCTAGTCTTGAGTCCTATCTTGTCTATGAGTACGCTCTTTAGAACCACGGTTACAGGAGTATAATACAAATTCTTCTGCTTCGACCGGTTTCCGTACAGACCATGCGTATAGTCTAGCTTTATAGCTCGAAATAGCAATATTTGTATACAATACGCGCTAGGTAACTCGACTTAGGTCGCTCCGTCGTTATATAAGTTGACTAGTGCAAACATGTTTACAGAAAACATTTATGATGCTGATTTCCAACATCGCGATGTAAATAGTTCTACTGTCAAATTTCGGAATGCTGAAGAAAGAATTAAATTACTGGGATCTACCTGGGGAGATTTGTAGATGGAGGTTAAACTGTGTAGTCCACATGTTTGTGAAGCGAATTACGAATTTCGATTGATTACCTACTAAAGAACCATCGCAATGAGGCTAGACCTTATCATGGTGCGATGGTTTGTGTGCCTCAGCGACCCATTGAGCTACGCTGGGTGGTGCTTTTGCACCTTCAGAGTCACTCATACCAGATTGGTCAATGGTTAGAGGCCAGACAAACTCAGCCTCCTGGTCCTCCAGGTTGGGGGTTGGAATGAGGGTGGCACCTTATTCCTTAAAACGGATTCCTTGTAGTCCAGTGCCAAACCCGCTGCCTTCCGGTCAGGTTTTTGAACCAAAGGCTTTGGTTGAGAACCCTAATCGTTCTCCTGTCTAGGCCTGGGCAACCTGACAGTATCCTGCCCACGCAATACTATGAATTTTCCTTCAAACAATTTCTTGATGCTCTGGCCACCGCAGAGGATAATAAACGGTGCCCTATCTGCTGCATCGAGCAGGGTGGATAGGGGTTTGGATGCTACTGCTCAAGCCTTCCCGTCTTCTTATTCCCCCTCTTACGCTTTTTCACTCTTACCGTCCCATTCCAACTTCACTTATATCCCCCCAGTTTTCAACCCCCCAATTCTTAGCCCTCCCCCAACATGCTTTGCTAGGCATTTACCTTCTAATTTCAACTCACACGTGAACGCGGAGCGTCACTCCTCTCCTGTCGACAAGCCCATGTCCAACCAAGCGGTCCAATCCAGTTCATCGGCTTCCATTTGGAGCCCTCGATCCTCCTTCAGATTGGCATGCCTCAATGTACGTACACTGCTACAAATCGGTCAACAGGCAGCACTTGCCCGAACATTGGAGACCCTCTCGATCGATATCTGCTGCTTATCAGAGACTCGCCAGCAAGACTCGAACACTGCCCTCACTCTGCGATCCCCTTCAGGGGACGCAAGCAGTATTTTCTCCTTGCGCCTATCCGGTGATGATGCAGCTTCGAGCACCGACCAAGCCGGTGTTGGTATTGTTCTGAGTCCCCGGGCTGTAGCTGCTCTGGTTGATTGGATTCCAATCAGTAGCCGGATGTGTGCGGTCCGATTGGCTGGCTCGTTTAAAGCTTCGAAGTCGCGCGGGACTAATAGATGTCTATTCATCATCGCTGCCTATGCGCCCACAAACTGTAGCGATGATTCGGTAAAGAACGACTTCTATCGTCAACTGAACGAGCTCCTTCGCCACAGAAGAAGCACGGACACTGTTGTGCTGGCGGGGGATATGAACGCACAAGTTGGAAAGTTGTCCACTGATGAACTGCATCTGGGCGGTCAACACGGTGTAGGCTCCCGTAATGATAACGGTGAGCGGTTACTTCATTTGTGTGAAGATGCTCGCTTATTTCTTGCGAGCACTAATTTCCGACACAGCACCCGCCGAAGGGTGACTTGGCGCCCACCAACCTCGAACCAGCCTTGCACGCAGATCGATCACATTGCGATAAGTTACCGCTGGAGAGGTTGCATCCAGAATTGTCGCTCGATTTGGAGCACATGTGTGGACACCGATCATGCACTTGTATGTGCTGACATGCGGATGCGTTTTGGCGGACGCCCACGACGACGCTGTGAGCGTATTGCCACCAGCCAACTGACAAAACCAGCTGTTCTGAATGCGTATCGAAGTACGCTAACATGCGAGTTGAGCAAGCGCTCACAGGAGACAATTGATGGTCACTGGTCACATGTTCGCCAGACCTTACTAGCAGCAGGCAAATCCTCATGTGGTATGTCTAATAGACAACATGGACATTGGGTCTCTTCGCAGCCTCTGGAACTTATAGATGCTCGCCGGCAAATCCCGGCTGGAAGCAAGCACAATGAAACTCGCAAAGAGCTCCGTGCAAAACTCCGTGCTAGCCTGAAGAGAGACCGCGAATCTTGGTGGTCTCATCGTGCGTCAGAGATGGAAGTGGCCGCTGCCCTTGGCAACCATCGTAAGTTATTCCGTCTGATAGGGGAAACGGGCAGCAGGAGACCTGGTGTTAGTGAAACTATACGTGACGAGAGTGGACAGCCTATCCACAATTTGTCAAAACGTCTGGAGCGTTGGCCTGAGCATTTTGAAAAGCAATTTAATCGGCAAGAATTGTTCGATTCGCCGGTCACTGATCGCCCTGCTCCGTGGGCTGTCCCTTTGGATCCACCCTCTCGCTCAGAAGTCGAACGTGAGATCGCACTGTTGAAGTCGAACAAAGCCGCGGGACCAGATGATCTTCCTCCAGCCCTCTTCAAATTTGGAGGCTCTGCTCTTGTTGATGCTTTGCATGAATTACTAGTGAAACTGTAGGAGCAGGAAACTGTCCCAACCGACTGGAGCCGCTCCGTTATTGTTCCCATCTTCAAAGGCGGCTCGCGCTCGGAATGCGGCAACCATAGAGGAATCAGTCTGATCTCCATCGCCTCCAAATTACTCGCGTCCATAATTCTCCACAGACTGACTGGCGCTCGTGAAAGCCAGATTCGTGAGGAGCAAGCAGGGTTTCGTCGGGGTCGTGGCTGCATCGACCACATCTTCACCTTGCGTCAGTTGTTGGAGCACCGTCACACATAATGGCGGCCCACCGTAGTCGTGTTCCTCGACATCAAAGGTGCCTTCGATTCGGTTGATCGATGTGCCCTTTGGAATTGTCTACTCAGGAAAGGTGTGCCCGAGAAATATGTAAATATTATCCAAACATTATATGCGCGTAGCACGGGCAGAGTAAGGGCTTACAGCAGGCTGTCGCCACCCTTCAATATCTCCAGCGGTGTGAGAAAAGGATGCCCGCTGTCACCTTTCCTATTCAACTTCGCTATGGACGAAGTCATGGAGATTGCATTTACAGGACATGACTTAGAAGGTGTGGAGCTACTCCCAGGAGAACGACTTCTTGACTTAGAGTATGCAGACGACATTGCCCTCATCTGTGACAGCTCCCAGACGTGTCAAGCCGCGCTGGACAGATTAGCACTGGCTGTCAGTCGCTTCGGGCTTTGCTTTGCACCACCGAAGTGCAAAGCGTTCCTACAGGATTGGCAGGGTTCGCCCCCTGTGCTGACCCTTGGTGGGGATCAGCTAGAAGTCGTTCAGAAATTCAATTACCTAGGAAGTTGTATCAGCGCCCTTGGGATCGAAGACGAGATCACGAACCGCATAGCGAAAGCTCGAAGTGCTTTTGCTAACCTTCGCCACCTAT